TTTCTAGATACATTGATTTTACTATGTATCTAGACATAGCGTATATCTAAGTGCATAGCAAAAGCTATGTATCTTTTTTCCGAAAAAACTCAAAAGCTATGTATCTAGAAAAGCTAACACGTCTTATAATTTGGAACAGAGGGAGTATGTATCTTGACACCTAACGTTAGAGGTGGAATGTTATGTATAATTGAGAGAATGCTGAGACATAAGGATTTGGATAACAGTTGCCCTGATAAAATACAATTACTGACATGACATTGTCATCTTAAATGTGTTGGAGATGGAAGAGCAACTAAGGATAACTTTTAGAATGACAGTAGGATCAACAATGTTTAATGGAATGCAAACGCTATATTGGTGGGGTGGGGTCTTTTTTTGAGTCATGTGTAATAGGGTAATAATTGATCATCAAGTACACTCATCTACACATGTATTTGCAGATAACCTACCATGCAAAAAGAGAAAATAAAATCATCAGTGAGGTATCTATTGGTTATTTTGCCATATTAAAGTTGGCACTACTATAATAAAAAATCCTATATCATATATTCATATATATTTAAATTTTTGAGTGATTTGCTCTAAGAGAAACATAAAGGATACTTCCAGAAGAAGCAGTAACTATTTCAATAGAAGTCCACAAACTTTGAGTGGATTGCAAGGAAACTTGACGAGAAATTAATTTATCAGTCACAATGCACGTTTAATGTAGATGGGAGCCTGGCAAATTTAATTTAAACATAGCATCCTGTCATTGCATTTAAGTCATTTTCTCTGCTTAACTCTTGTCTTTCAGGCATTGTTTGGTGAGCGCCAAAAAGAAAACAAGAAGAAGAAGAAAGAACAGGAAACCAAAGTATTTTATTTAAGAGGCCACTTGCCACAATTGAAGCTTACCTCCTTGGAGACTTCTTCAGCCTCCTTTGAAGATCGGGCATAATTCACCAAGACCTGAAGTTTAATCACAGCTTTCATAATATTCTGAGGATAAAACCATTTATCCATTATGCATAATGGTCCATTTAAATTGGAAATCTAACAGCTTGCTCTAGCAATGGCCATTGTGGGCTTGAGGTTTGTGCAGAGTTTAAGAAGCACCATACACATTCGATAGACTTCTATATATTTATAAACAGATTACTTAAACTGCTAACCTTGCAGCCTGCTTTTCCAAGAGCCAATGCAGTGGCCTTTCCAATCCCCCTGGAAGCACCAGTAACAACAACCACAGGACCTTCCAACTTTGTCTCACCTTGTACAATGGCTTGATCCACAGCCGCAACATGAGTTCTTACACCTGCAAATACAATTTATTACTTAGTAAAAAAGAAAAAATATTAATTAATTTAGTTGTTGACAAAAGGAATTGAAATGATGTCATGTTCAAACTACAGTGTTTCCCTGTGAATGACCAGGCAAGGGCATCATCATATATGCCTTGTTCACACAAGTATACCAAATCCACACTCAAAGTTGTTACAAAGTGATGATATACGAACGCCGAGGAAGCACGCATTCGAAAGAGCAGGAACCCATTGTTCAAAATTCCAATACACTGCCAAGGTGAAACTTGAAATACCGAGGAATCCTTTCAATAGTATAATCGCCAGCAGCTTCCCAACGATGAAGAGCCTAAGAACCCACGAAATCAAAGCAAGCTACTGCTGTCACTCTAGAGGTGAGGTCGGCACGCCGTACCGGGGAGGGCGACGGCGCGGGAGCTGCGGTCGGGGCCGGAGCGGAGCGCAGGGGCGAAGCTGAAGAGGCCGCGGCGCACCGGCGATGCGCGGATGGCCGCCGGGGAGGCGAGCGCGGCGGCGGCGGCAGCGGCCATGAGGGATCGGAGGGCGGCGATGGGGAGGAGTCGGGGAGCCAGCGAGGGGATTTTTAACTTTTCGCCCCATGACACACCTCCGTTTGCCGGCTCTAGTAGGTACCTACGTTTTTACCACGCGTGCCAGGTGGACGTACCAGCGTGGAAGCGAGCCCAGGACCTCTACCGGACATACGAAAATTACCAGTTTACCCCTGCTGTTTCTCTCTCCTGACATTCGCTGACGTGTGGGCCCTCTTCCTCCTCTAGCTGACGCGAGGGCCCCGCACGTCAGCTTCTCCTTCAACCCCATCTCTTTTCCTCACCGCGCCTCACCTCCATGGCCGTCGTCGTTGCCGAAGCAGAGGACACCGGAGGGGCCTCGTTCGTCGCTCCTCTGCCCCCTCCGACTGCGCCGCCGTCTCCACTGCACCGCGCCTCGCCGTTCGCGCCTCTCCTCCGGCCGGCTCAGCTCCTTCACCGCAGCGAGTGCACGCGGCCAGGCCACTGCGTGCCGTTCTAGGCTGCGTAGAGAGCACCCATGAGCTCAGCGGGTGGTGGTGATGCTTGCGTGCCGCAGCTCGACGCCGGCCCCCACCTCCGTCAGCCGGGATTGGTCGGAGTCCAGTTCGTGCGTGAGTTCACCCAACTCGGCCTCCACCGATCCGTCGGCGGCATCCTTGCCCTCGTGCGCAGGCGTAGAGGCGTCTCGTCCGAGGAGGAGGGGGCCAGGAAGCTCTGGCTCTGACGGCCCGTCCCCGCTCATGCTCTCGCAGGGAGAGCGCCACCGAGGCTTGGTCGCACCGTGGGAGCGGAACGCGTGGCGCGCTCGCAGCCATGGAGGATCTGCCGCTCCCATCCTCGCTATTGCCCGCGCTGACGGAGAAGCCGAGGCCCAGGCCGGGGCTCGGCGGTAGTGGGACGATGCGGGACTCGACGGAGGCGGTGGAGATCTCGGCCTCGGCGACGGCGGACGCGTCATGCTTCCCCCTAGGCGCGCCGACGGTGGCGAAGGGCAGCCAACGCTAGTGGAGCTGCGCTCGTCCGAGGAGGAGGGGGCCGGGAAGCTCTGGCGCTAGCGGCCACCATCACCGGCACTGACTTTTGCGCAGAAGAGATGGGGTTGAAGGAGAAGAACGTGTCAGCGAGAGGAGGGAGAGAGAAGCAGCATGGGTAAACAAGTAATTTCGCATGACTTGTAGAGATTCCCAGGCTCGCTGCCACGCTGGCATGCCCACTTGGCATGACACATCAGCGAAAGTGGTAAAAGCGTAGGAAGTTCAATGTTTGCGATGCCAATTGTGTAGGAGCATACGTAAAACTGGCAAACGGAGGAGTGCCGTAAGGATGGCAAAAAGTCAAAAATCCGTGCAGGGAGAGAGCCGTTTGTAGAGGACGGCGTTGGTGGGTGGGGGGGGTGTGTGGTGGGGTTGGGGGTTGGCACGTTTGGTGTGCCTGCTGGGGTTTGCTTGCTTTGGCAGCTCCGATGGCGACGAGAGACGGGTGGCTTCTGGCGGAAGGCCACAATGATGGATGGGAGATTAGGGAAACATTAATTAGACTAACAAATACGAGTATATTTGGCTGTTACAACTGAACATACAATTTGTCGTGTGATGCTTGTACCAAAATTAACGAGCTAGCTATTTTTGTTGAATTTAATTAGATTTAATCTTAAATAATAAATTTCTAGGCTCATGATAAATGCTAATGCAACAAACAATAAATCACGTATGGAAGATTGACAGAAGACTGACTCAATTTAATTAAATGAGTGACTTTTGTGTGTATCTATTGGGAGTTTAACAAAGGTGCAAAGCGATGTGCATGGGTTCGGACAGTCGGCCATGATACTAACAAAGATGTTTTTTTAGATCCAAACAAGGAGGTTAAGAGTGAGAGATGACATACTGAGACATAAATTGTCATATGTTTCTTCAGTAAAAGAGAACTTTATTAACTAGACATTGACATAAATACCTTAAGATAGATTACGCGTACAACATTACTCCATATTATCTTCCTGTCTCCACTTGATGCTCACTCGTATTGTTGCCCATGGTATTTCCTGCAGTTTTAGAGCTAGATTGTAGGCACTCCTCACAGTAAACTCGTATCTTCTCCGAATGTCATGCCAAACAGTCCTTGGAGGATCGTATAAGAAGCTTTAAAGGTCCCTTTTAGAACGCATGAATAGAAAAACACACAAAATAAGAAAATATAAGATTAATGTAGGAATATATATGCAATTCTAAGTAATAAAAAACATAGGAATTATGTAGCATTATGCGTTTGGCTGGGTACAAGAAAAAGTAGGGAATTTTAAAGGAGTTTTAAGAACAAATTCATGTTACTTCTTTATTCACCTGGGTATCCTATCATAATACAATATACACCTGCTTGATTAGACACCAAGTGCAGTTATTAATCCCTTGCTTGTCCTTGTTCCTTGTGCACACAAAACTTTTCTTGAGGCGTAAGTGAAATATTTTCTTATCGAATCAGGGGAAAGGGATTTTTCCTTTAGCCCCCCTTTGGAATACAACTTTTTTTCATGCTTTTATGTTTTTTATGAAAAATGGACTGATTCCTATGAAATTCTTGCATTCCAAAGAACCCTTAGTTTTACTGTGACCTATTACTATAAACCAAATGCTGTTGCAGGAACTACATCCCCAGAAATTAGAATCCTACATTTTCCCTGCGTTTCTCCTCCATTCCAAAGGGGGCCTACTTTTTATATAGCATCAACGTCTGGAGGGTTAAAAAGACCAACCCAAGGGGACCCTTTCATTGATATTGAACATGAGTTGACTTTATATATGACAGTACATAGACTAATCGGTCTGAAATCTTTCGTAGACTCAAGAAGTGATACCTTTGTTATAAGCACAATAGATGTCTCATTTACCGCATAATGCCTATCAATTTTTTTTCGAAATGCTGATACAATATCTTGCTTCAGGTGTTTTTGCCAAAACGGGCTAGATATGCATCCGGTCAGAGGCCTTTAGTGGCCCAATTTGAAAGAGGATGTGCATCTAGTTACGCTAGTGAAACTTTAAAAAACACTCATATTTTAGTAAAAAAGACACAAAACTACGTAGTTAATACTCGCTCTATCTACAAAAGAATGCAATTATCACTTTTCGAAAAGTCAAATGATCTAAAGTTTGACTAAAATTATATAAAAAATACTAATATTTATGATACAAAATAAGTACCATTAAATTATTATGAAATATGTTTTTTAGTAGATCTAGTTGCAAACATAAATGATAACACTATTCATTATAAACTTGATCAAAGTTATGCAAGTTTGACTTATCCAATCCTATAATTGTATCTTTTCTTAGACGGAGGAAGTACATGTATAGCAAAATTACAAAAGCTAATATCATTCATTACTCAAACATTGAGAATGCCTAGTTGTGCCGATGGATGGCAACATTCACCGATGATGTTTAATTAATTCTTTGCTTATTCTATCAGTGTGTCATGCAACGCTTTGGGCTTACAACTTGCGACGTCCGACAGTTCCGGCTAAACACGTACTGAACACCATATATTATATATCAGTATATCACCGTGCTCTTTTGTTCTTTGCTCGATGCTGTCTTTAAAGAAAGGATGGGAGGGGATCTGAATTTTTGAAGAAAGGATGGGAGGGGATTTTTGAATTATTGAAGGGTTTCTTCAGGATGACGAGTTGTTGAGAACCCACTCCACCAAGGTGGTGACTCCGAAGCCAGTACCCACCCGCTTCTTGTTGCTCCAGACTGTGCCGGCAATGTCGATGTGCATCCACTGAACCTTCTCATCAACAAACTGCAACACGTACATAGAACAGAGCATCAGTCAATTGTTTTGTTTCTACGAACATCTGATCCAATTTATATGGGTGCGTGCATAATAAACCATGATAAGCAAATAAAGATGGTTGCTGTAGGTACGTGTTTCAGGAACAATGCGCCAGTGATAGCGCCGGCCTTGGGTTGCAACGGGCCGGCGCTGAGCATATCAGCGATGCTGGACTCCATGGACTCCCAGTAGCTCTCCTCCATCGGCAGCCTCCAGAACTTCTCTCCGGAGACCTCATAGGCGGCCGCAAATTCCTCGGCTAGCTCATCGCTTGGTGTTAAAATCCCTGTGTATATATGGAATGGAAGGCGGTGTTAATTTCCTTTGCCTACTACTCATATATGCAAAACATTCAAAAAGAAATCTGATGCCGCATTATTTTGGACACATGCATGCATACATGCTGTAAAACTTATTGTTATCTTTTTATATGCTAGTAAAACTTAATTATTAGCGGAGGTCAGGAGTGGAGCACCGGTCACGGTTAGTTATATTACCAGCAATGCTAGGCCCAAGTGCATCACGAATGGCTCCAGTTAATGTTGCCAGATCGATAATCTGCATACCATGATTACAATGGTCAATAGATCAAGCAAGACACTCGCAAGATACAGTTGTTTATATACTTGCATAGTCTTCCACAAACAGACAGAAAATTACAACCTATGAATCCAAGGAATAGTGTGATAAAAGTGAAATCTACTTGTGTATTATCAATTCAGCATGATCATCTGCATTTTAGTATCTTATTCCTACACAAACTGACAAGCACAGCTGAATCACTAAATAAAGAATGAATTCATCATCACCTGAACAAATTTTCTTCCCTAATAAACAGAGAAAACCATGTTTCTCTAAATTATTGGCCTAGAAGTCCATGAACCATGATGCTAGTGCAAGAGGAATTTATATAGGTAATGGCATCAGGAAAACGCATTTAGCAACTGACATAGACCAAAGCGTAAGTCGTTACCTTGTCAACACCTTGGTTACAAGCATAGACCAAAGCGTCAGCAAGTGTAAGCCTCCCCTCCGCATCCGTGTTATCTACCTGAAGAAGAAGAAGAAGAAGCATATATTTATATATGAAGACAAATTAATACTACAAGGTAGGATATATAGTCATTTTTTTTAAACGAACGGCGGGAGCTCTGCCTCTCGATTAAGGAAGGAATAAAGAAGGTTTATGTACAGCCACAGCCCAAGGAGCTGTGCAAACGAACAGGGGTAAAAAAACCTTCCAAATCACGTATACAACCAAAATAGCCGGCTTGCTAGCCCCCTCCCTGGAATGCCCCTTGGAGCGCCCTCTTCCTTTGCTCAATGTCTTCTTTAATTCTTGAAGCCACCTGCAATGGCGATTCTTGAGCGTTATTGAAAATTCTTCGGTTTCTTTTCTTCCAAAGGTTCCAGCATGTGTAAGGATATATAGTCATCACACTACTACTATAGTACTATGCTTCATGGATCAAGTGGATTCTGAGCATTACTGTTACAAGAGAAATATATATACCTCGATTGTCTTTCCATTAGAAGCAGTCACGATGTCACCGGGTCTCATGCCTGAGCCACTAATCATATTTTCAGACGCAGCAGATATGAAATGAAGACAAATTAATACTACAAGGCAGGATATATAGTCAATTTTTTTTGAAACGAACGGCAGAAGCTCTGCCTCTCAATTAAGGAAGGAATAAAGAAGATTTATGTACAGCCACAGCTGAAAGCTCTAGTTTGGTTTTGGTGAATTGATGTAACCCTAAGTGCTAACCTAGTTTATCAAAGTGATTATGAGATAGGTGGCACATTCCAAGTGGTGGAGTAAATGAAGATCATGACATGATGATGGTGATGCCAGGGTGATGATCAAGTGCTTGGACTTGAAAAGAAGAAAGAGAGAAACAAAAAGCTCAAGGCAAAGGTATAAGTGGTAGGAGCCATTTTGTTTCAGTGATCAAGACACTTAACGAGTATGATCACATTTAGGTTTGATAGCCGTACTATTAAGAGGGGTGAAACTCGTATCGAAATACGGTTATCAAAGTGCCACTAAATGCTCTAACTCATTACATATGCATTTAGGATCTAGTGGAGTGCTAACACCCTTGATTTTTTTTATAAAAATATACTAACACACATGCACAAATATGATACACATTGTGTTTAGCACTTGGGAGCAAGGGTTTGAAACTTCACCGGCGGAGTGTTCGACGGTGCCACCGGCGTCCTGTACAGAAAAGACAGGGTTTCATAGAGTGCACCGGACGCTGGTCACGTGGTGACCGGACTCTGGGGAGCAGCGTCCGGTCAATTATAAAAGAATGTGGTACTCTCGGCCTGAGATAGGATGCAGGCGACCGAACTCTGGCTGAACACTATTCAGCGTCCGGTCCTGCTGATGTGGCAGCGCACAGAGAAGTCGGTCGTGACCGGTCGCGAATGGAACCTTAGCGAAAGTGACCGGACGCTAGGCAACTGTGCGTCCAGTCCTACATTGTAGCGCGTCCGGTCACAACTTATGTGCACTGATGACCATTGGGATCGGACGATAAGCATTTGAAGTAGGGGCCACATGGCATGCATCGCACGACCGGACGCTGGGGTCCTGCGTCCGGTCAAACCGACCGGTGTGTCCGGTCGCCCCGACTTTTCAGTGAATAAAGGGGCCAACGGCACTATTCGTGGGGGCTCTCTATTTAAGCCCCATGGCCGGCTCAAGCTCACTCTCTTGGCGATTTGCATTGACATAGAAACCTTGTGAGCTTAGCCAAAGCCCTCCCACTCATCTCCATCATTGATTCATCATCTTTGTGAGATTGGGAGTGAATTCAAATGCATTGCTTGAGTGTTTGCATCTAGAGGCACTTGGTGTTCGGGTTTCGCTGCGGGATTCGCTTGTTACTCTTGGTGGTTGCCGTCACCTAGACGGCTTGGAGCAGCGAGGATCGTCGAGCGGAGGTTGGTGATTGTCTCCGGCTCCGATCGTGGTGATTGTGAGGGGTTCTTGACCTTTTTCCGGTGAAGAGGCAAAAGGTACTCTAGTAAATTGCCCATGGCTTGTGTGATCCTCATCTTGTGTTGGTTGTGCGGCACCCTATTGGGGGTTTAGCGTGTGATGTCAATTAGCGCGTGAACCTTCAAGTGAGTGAAACACCACAACGAGGATTAGCTTGCCGGGAAACAAGTGAACCTCGGTAAAAAATCATTGTATCAACATTTGATTCCGAGGTGATTGGTATTCACTCTTGTGATTGATTGATTCATTCCTCGACTCGACGGTATAACCATCTTGCTCTCTCTTTTATAATACCGCAAACTAGTTGCGAAGCTCTTTAGTGTAGCTAGTCGTGAGAGCTTGTTAGTTTGGTTAGTGTGGCTCTTTAGTTAGCATTTGAGAGCATATTAACATAGTGTAGTCATATAGCCATTGTGTGGATAGAGACTATAGAAAAACTAGAATTGTGGTAGGTGTCTTGTATTTTTAGTAGGCTAGCACAATACTCGCTTTGCCTCATATTTGTTTAACCGGTTTGCTAAGTGTTGTTATATAAATTTTAATATGCTATTCACCCCCTCTAGCCATTAGGACCTTTCAATAGCTCAAGGAGCTGTGCAAACGAACAGGGGTAAAAAAACCTCCAAATCATGTATACAACCAAGGCCCTCTCCCTGTAATGCCCCTTGGAACGCCCTCATCCTTTGCTCAATGTCTTATTTAATTCTTGAAGCCACCTGCAATGGCGATTCTTGAGCGCTATTGAAAATTCTTCGGTTTCTTTTCTTCCAAAGGTTCCAGCATGTGTAAAGATGGCCTTGTTCGCTTCTCTTATAATCTGCCTTTTCAGCTTGTTTTTTCAGCCGGAACAGTGTTTCTCTCTCACAATAAATCAGCCGGAACAATATTTCGGCTTGTTTTTTCAGCGAAGCGAACGGGGTCATAGTCATCACACTACTACTATAGTACTATGCTTCATGGATCAAGTGGATTCTGAGCATTACTGTTACAAAGAGAAATATATATACCTCGATTGTCTTTCCATTAGAAGCAGTCACGATGTCACCGGGTCTCATGCCTGAGCCACTAATCATATTTTTAGACGCAGCAGATATGAAATGAACCTGTCAGATTGAGATCATCAGAAAATACACTAAAACGTGAAGGCTGAATACTTGAACTAGCTAGCTAGCAACTGAATCTGAATCAGTACCTCAACTCAAGGAGGTTTGATCTGTCCCAAAACTTTTGCCGCACCTCCCATGTCCTTCATAAGCTCAATGGTGGGGACTGGTACGGCCTTAATGTTGTAGCCACCACTGTAGATGACATAGGTGAAGCATTCAAAATCACTTATATAGTTATCATGACATTAATTCATTACTGAATTCCAGTAGTAAAAAGAATACCAATTATTCAGTTTTGAAAGTAGTATATATATAAACCTGTCAAATGTTATGCCCTTCCCAATAAGAGCCAGCTTTGTCTTGACATTACCACCAGGGGGTTTGTAACACAGGTGGATAAAGTAAGGTGGGTTTGTTTCAGAAGCCGCTGCAACTGCCAAGTAGGAGCCCATCTTCAGTTCTTTGCACTTCTCCGCATCTAATATTGTGGCTGTGAATACATCGCTGTATGTCGAAGCGATCTTCGCCGCCTCCTCCGCAAGAGAACCTAGAATGAATGATTAAGGACGAATGAGGACTACTACTCTGACAATTAATATGCCAAACATGTGGATGTAACACTATCCTACTAGTGTTTACTGAAAATTGAGGCTAATTCTACTGACCACTGTACTGACCCGGTGTAAGGACATTGGCAGGAGAGTTCAAAAGATCTCTCGCAAGCATGACGCCCGATGAAAGATGGTTACCATCACTACCGGAAACACAGTAGTTTTGCCGTGTGCCACGGACACTCGGCAAAGCCCGAAAAACACTCGGCAAAGGATTTGCCGAGTGTAACACTCGGCAAAGAGCACACGACATCCACAGTACCGGCAAGCAGCAGCTTTACCGAGTGTTTTCTGTCGGGCACTCGGCAAAGACTTTGCCGAGAGCTGAAAACGTCACTCGGCGAAAAAAGTACGTCACGGAGTGAAAACGGTCACGACACATTTGCTGGGTGTCAAATATTAGGCACTCAGCAAAGCTTGCCTTTTTGCCGTGTGTCAAAGTTTGGGCCCTCGGCAAATCTGGCCTATTTGCCGTGTGTCAAAGTGTGAACTGATTTTTGCCGTGTGTCAAAGAGGGGGCACTCGACAAAGTGACTCCTTTTGCCGTGTGTTAAAGTATGGGCACTCGGCAAAGACCGTTCCAAAATCCACAGAATTTGGCTTCTTTGCCGAGTGTCATAGGGCAGACACTCGGCAAAGATGCCATTTTAGTCCCAGAATGCACATAATTTTGCCACGTGTCTACTTTGCCGAGTGTTTTACACCTGGCACTCGGCAAAAAGCCTCTTTGCCGAGTGTTACACTCGGCAAAGATGCCACAAATAATTAGTTTATTTGGTTCGGTCACAGCCATGTACCACATTCAAATAAACATCATATCCATCATAGATAGTTCACAATAGGCATCACATGCAATTCATATAGATATATCGACAACACATAGATGCAAATAAACTTCAGAATCCACAAATAGTAGCCACAACTCATTCACAACCACAAGTAGTCGCAGTTAATCCACAAATGCAAATACAAATAAAATCACAAGTACTTAGGCCACGAGTTCACTACGACAGGGCTTCACTTAGGCCACGAGTTCCACTGCGACGAGGCTGAGGCATGAGGCTCATTCGATGCCGCCGATTGATGCTGCACAAAGGAGAAGGGATTGTCATGTGTGAGACAAGATTAAACAACACTAGTAGTCTCATTCGATGACGCAACGGAATCACAATATAAAAGAATCCAGGGGGAGGTTCATGCCATGGCCTAACTCTTAATAGTCACATAATGGAATATTCATTAAGATGGTAGGAAGTACTAACTATGCAAGGGGGCTGTTGTCAGCATTACATTGTAGATATATAGTGTTGTATACTGATTAGGATAGCATACTGAAAACCATGGAAATAACAGGATACTCACAATACAAAAAAAACTGAAACACACTAATATGAGGAACAAACTAAAAAAAGACATTTTAAATAACTGACAATCTCTAGATGACATTTTGAATAACTTTACTCTCTTTCAAAGGATGCAAAGTAAGATTGATTCTGCATAAACTAGATTATAAGGTTGTAAAGCGACTCACAGTGCCTGAAACAGTATTTGGAGCAGGAGGAGGAGGGGCTAGAAACGGTGGTGGAGGTTGACCGATTGTAACATAAACACCCCTCATATATTCAAACATATGTAGCTCCATCCTCTGCCGCTCTGCCACCATCTCTGCCTCCATCCTCTGGCGTTCTGCCTCCATCTTCACTTCTAGCTCCTCCCAGCGCCTCGTTTCTTGTTCTAGCTGAGCCTATAATATTTCATCCCAATGTTACAATGCAATGCAAAGTATGTAAAAATCAATGAATGATGAATAAAACAGAAATAACCTGGAGTGTGTTCATCTGGAACCGTGTAGAGTCCGGCCGTGGGCGTATCACTGGACTGGAACCTATGCTCCGTGCTCGAATCTGGGAGAGAGTGGGAGTACTGGCCGTGTCGATGGTGCCATCGCCAGTCCAGAACCGGCCATGCTTCTTGCCTCCTCCCGCCCTCATGACCACTTCTCCATCAAGGTCATGGGCGCTCGGATCGTACTCTGGGCCACGGACCTGCCTTGCCATCGATGTGTATCCTTCGAGACGGCTGTGAACGGACTCGTTGCTGTACGCCGAGGGCGGGTCCTCCGGGTTGTAGGCGACGTCGGACGTCGCCTTCCCCTTGTGGGCCAAAGCATATGCCACGAACTAGGTGCAGGGCTGGCCACCATGTGACGCCGACTGCAAAAAAAGCAATATGATTAGAAATTATGCAGAGTTGAGCCTTAGAATAAAGAAATGAATTCACGTACCCATCTAGCCACGTATTCTGAGAGGTTGAGGTTGCCATGATGGTGTGTTGGACCCGGCATCAGCAAACGCCGCTCTCGGCAAGCGTTGTGATTCTCCTGCCACGTGGGGTCGCACCACCTTTCCACCATCCGGGCCCAGCACTGCATATCGTAGGTGCACCAACACGGAGGCACCTACGTCATCAAGTATATGACATATAAGAAGATGAAATTAAGCGCAATTAATCTCAGAAAAAAAGTATTAATGTTCTATATTTACCTTCATGTATTGTTCCGAGGTCAGGCTCATGGTTCTTGCCGCCCTTTTAGGGATCCTCTCTCTAAGAAATTCTGCGTGGTATTGGATCACGGACTGGATGCGCGCCTCGTAGTGCATGTCCTTGACGAGTTTCTTGGCGGCTTTGTCAGCCACAGCATCCGCCTTAGCCTCGTATCCCTCCTCGCATATAAAGAAATCCTACATATAGACGCGATGTATCCAGTCATTAATGTCCAATCAATGCGATGCATTGAGCAATATAGTGCGAGAAAGACTTACCCAAAGCTCGGCCTTGGCACGCTGTGCCTTATTGGTGAAACACCTGCCATCTCGATCAGTGTCGGAGACGGTGGCATAGTGGGCCCATGTGTAGGTCGGCTCGATAGTTCCGCCAAACTACACCAGGCCAGGGAACTTTTCCTTGATCAAAAGACCAAGGATGCCGTTCACATGGCGTGCGTGATCACCCCTACCGACCTTCCTCTAACCCCTATCCAAGTGATTAAGATAAATTATTAGTTTCTATTATAATTTTGAACATATCAAATGAAAAATTAGTGATAACATATAAAGTTACTTACTTCTCTCCATCGGGTCGAATCAGCGAGCGTCTCTCAAGAGGTATCGATCGCTTCGGGAGGGTCGAGGGACCTCGCAACCACACACCTATACTAGAGGAATAGGTACCCCCTATCTCCTCCTCCATCCCTGCCTCCTCCTACACCCCTGCTTCCTCCTCCACCTGTACCTCCTCCTCAGAGGATGAGTGAGCGGAAGGTAACTCAGACGGCGATGAAGGTACAGGCGACAGTGGCCTCGTCTTGTCTCCACCCTTCGCTCGACCCTTGGGTCTACCCCGAGGTCTCTTCCTGGACCCCTCAGCTGCATCGGACCCTTTACTCGTCGCTGTCGCTTTTGAGTAAAGCGATGTTATCCTCCTCATACCACCCACCATTGTTCAATCACCTGCAATTAAAAAGAGTAAACCAATTAGCACAGATAATACATCAAAATAGATGCAAAATAAACAAAACATACTTAGAAAATAACATGGTATGACAAATAATAAATCAATTAGCACGGATCATACATGTATTAGAAATAATCATCATCATCGGGATTAGCTGGATCATAGGTCTCATCATCACTATCACACATGTCAATATAATCATCCCCATGCTCCGAAGGAGGAATGTCGTCATCACCGTCGTTGCTTAGATGTAATCACTGAAGTAATTCTAAGTCCTTCACATTCTAAACCTCGTCACCAGCGTCCTCGTCAGCACCACTTTCATTGTCTACTTCCATTCCCTGAGCTTCGGTTAAGTCTATCTCAAAACTCCCTTCGAGCCCATCTTCTTGAAAGAACTCTCCGTTATATGTGCTGGGGTCTATGCTGTAATCTTGATTGTTTAGGACAGGTAGTTTACCGTGTGGTGATACCTTGTACACAACATCCCAACCCTTAAGACGGTCTACAATTTGGCACGGGTATGAGAGATAATAAACTTGCGTTGCCTGTTGAGCCACAATGTAGACATCGTCTCCTGGTAAGATGGATGATTGTCGAATTTTGACTAGCCCAAGATTAGGGGTCCGCCTCACTACTTCAGGATCAAACCAATGGCATTTGAATATAATGGGATTAAGAGGTTTGCAACCATGAAACATGAGTTCATATATTTCTTCAATTCTTCCATAATACTCAACCCCATCTAAGCCTTGCGTAAAAACTCCGGTATTTGTGGTTCTTCGATTGGGCTGACTCTGCTCGTGGCTTGTTGTGTGAAAGCGATATCCATTCACGTCATAACCGATAAATGACTTGACCCTATAGGCACAACCATCGGCAACCTGTCTCAACTCGGCACTCATAGACGCATCGGTTTGTCCCTACAAGTTCAAGCAGGGTAGTTCATTATATTAGTCGCACGTACGAGCAACTTGTAATGTCAAACTAAGTACGAGCCAAAATGGACAATACCTTCTGTTTGAACCAAGAAATAAAATTGGGCATTCCATTTCCCGCACCCTCTCTAAGAAGGGTCGAAGTTTCCTGCGGGGCAGGTTCCCTTGATTCTCGCCAGAATCGTTCATAAAATTCCCTGTACCAACGAGAAACAAGGGAGTTGGACACAGAATTGTGATTACTTGAGAAAAAGTTTGTTGAGAACTTACAGCATGTACGGCTCTACTTCGGATAGGTTGGTCAACACATATAGCATAATAGTGCGCCACTCTTTATGTTTCAAGGTCTTGTTAGTCGCACCACTTGCACTTCCTAGTTGCCCTCGGAAAATGCTAAGGTTCGATTCATCTTCGCCAGCATTGTAACGAGGAAGTGGATTATGCACGCTAGGAAGGTTGTCAGCATAGTATTTTGTTGTGAAGTT